CCACTAGGGTTCTACTGCTCCCAAAACACCCTTGAGGAACTCTGAAGTCAGTCTTCACATATAACTGGGAACCTAAGAGGTTGTAGAAATTAGTAAATCTCACCAAACAGCCAAAGCCTGTCCTGCAGGCTGGCCTCCCTAGACATTTGGAGTATCCAGCTGTCCAGCTTAGCCAGGCTGAATGGGCCTCGCTATGCACACACAGGAATGATACCCAAGTTGAAAATTCTATTGTACTTCACAGCATGAGCAAAATTGCAGTGAGATGAGTCCCTGGCGATTCTTTAAGCCTGGGTTCAGGTTGAACCCCCAGTAGTGCAAGGTAGAGAGATTTCAGGAAGCTGAGGTTGGAGTCAGAACATAAGGGCCTGGAATCCTGCACTGAAATGCTGTCTATCAGGAAGGACAAGTGGGAGGGAAGGATGACATGGAGTCAATGTGGCTTCCAGGCTGAGCACTTGGACCTCTGTGTTGCAGTATGGACACAGATACTCAGACACATACACACTGACTTTTATATTAAACAAAGAGTTATATTGATAAAGCTCTTTGACATTCTCTACCTGCAGCTCTCAAGAGGAGGAAGAGCAAGCATTCTGACCCAAAATTTACAATTTAAGGAGGTGAGGTCCCATTAGGTGGCTTTGATGGAGGTCACAAAACAAATGAGGTTTCTGGGTCTCTTTGGTCTGCAGGCTGTAGGACCCTTAGATCAGTTCCATCCATTTTCTCCATTTACATTTCCCCAGTGCCCTTGCAGTGTGTACCTGACTCTACAGTTTGTCTTCAGACAAATATCTACAGCGTTGATATTGTAGACTGCAGCTAACAGGCTGTTCCTACTCAGTCACAAAGTAGAATTGTTCAGGTGTTGTTTCAATCAAATATGAAAAGTGGATGATAATCCTGGGACTTAAGCTTGGGAACATTGTCATTTGAAGAGAACCTATAATTTTCTGTCTTTTGGGAGGAGTCTGACTTTTTCTGCCAGTGGATTCCCTGTGAGCACATGGAAAACTAGTTTCGCCAATTCAGACATTGTATTTTGCCTTCTGTCAGGCTACTTCTGAGTGGGGTCCTGCTTAGTGCTGGGCCCTTTTCCCTCCCTTGATGTGTCCTGGGCTTCAGCCCCTCAGCTTTTGTTCAGGGACTAGAGAAAAAGCTTTGCAGTTAATATTCATCAGAAAATAGATGAGGAGTTTCCTGGTGAGGCCCCATTCTCCTGTCCAGAGGCTGCCCATCTCTGGGTCCTCATATGACAGAGACTTCTTTCTAACTGCACCTAAGTGCATGCTGAAAGGCCTGCCCTCAGGACAAAATCTGTCCCTGCCTCCCTACAGAAGGCCTGTCTCTAAACCCTACCACACAGGTGTGAGGGCCTTGCCATTTCAATCTGGGGAAGATACCAATATGCATCTCTTTGAGCTGCAGGTGGCAAAAGAATCCTGAAAGGCATGATTTCATTCTCTTCCTCTGCCTCTGGAATGACTATTTCAGTTTGGAAGCAGTTTGCAAATCAGGGTGCTGCCCAGGTGGCAAGGGCATTGCTTCTGAGAAGCAGTGGGACAAGTCCGGTTTTGTAGTGAAAGTGAATGTGGGGTTTTTCTTCTTGGGAGGAAGAAGGAGGGGCTGAAAAATCACCTGAGTACGGTGACGTCACAGCGTAGATTTCTCTCTGATCTGCGTTTCTTTTCTCTTAAAGTTCTATCTATGAAAAATAAGGAAGTTAGACTATATTAATATAGTGCAGGAAAAACTTAGAAAAGTAGAATGTAGGAACATAATGTACAGTAAAACTTAGAAAAAGATAAGCAGCAACACGCAGAAACCATGTCCTGAATATTCTAACTATGGAT